TTGGGATTCAAGATAAACCGGTGACTTGGGACACCAAAAGCCAAACCTTTCCCAAGTGGCGACTCTGAATTAAATAAATAATCTCATTTCGAATATTGTCACTTAAATTGGAAAAACTTCCTCGCGCGTTTAACCCTTCGGGGCGGGCGCGCAAAAAGGAGGTGTGACAAAGACTGAGTGAGTACTCTTCCATAAATTATGATCAACAAAGGAAAACCAATATTAATCAAAATCTTAGCACTAATATTCAACAATATAGCTAATTACTCTCTTATCAAACCCATAATACTAACAAATCAACATGTTCAGGTTGAAAGAAAAATGAATAATTGAAAATGTACTCAGATGAACATGGCAAGAAAATACCAGATAAGAGTCAAGGAGATGATCTTGTAGCCCAATCTGGAGGCTATATAGTAACTGTCAACGCATTATTTCCCATCATATCATGATGCGTTGTTTGAATTTCCAGGGCCGAATTGGCAACAGACCAGCAACACCTGTTTACCTCAATCCTCTTTAGAGATATAGCATCACCAAAATGAGAAGGGATTTCCTCAAGCCGCTCACACTTGGTTAAAACTAAATGTTCAATCATAGGAAAAGCATCATCGTAGACAGACCACTGTGAAATGTTGATATTGTCCAAATTTAAGTATTTGAATTTAGGGAACTCTGAATCTTTCACTTCCCATTGATTCCCTTCAAAAGCTCTGAAAAGTAACTTCAGAATCTCCAAGTTAGGCAATTCTCCAATGGTAGAAATTGCGGACCAGGGTAGACGAAACTTGGACAAAGTCAATTCCCTTAGTTTTAAGGGGAAACTAAACTCATGCGGAAGTTTAGCCGGATAGCTGTTGGAAACCAGCTTGAGGGATTCAAGATGACTTAGAAACTCTAATCTGGGGAAAAGAACACATCTTCCCTTCACTTTATCTGAATAACCAAATGTCCCCGAAAATATACAGCTTAACTTTCTCAAATTTGGCATCTGTTTCAAAATCATCTCTGCCTCTTCACCATAAGAGAGACGTGGAGTGGAAAAGGTTTCCAGGTCATTTAATTGAGAGTTAGCAAGTGATTCGCCCATGTTCTCGTGCAAACTAAATGAAGCACGACGTTTTACAAGAATATGCTTCAATTTGACCATCTTCAGAAGAGAATAAGGTAATATCACCTCTCCTCCCAATCCTCTTACCACAAAAGTTTCAAGATTCCATAGCTTAGCAATAAATGAAGGAATTGAATTTGCATCAGTTTGAACAGCGAAGTACCTCAAATGAATTAGAAACTGTACTTCACTGGGAAAAGTACCACCAATGTTGAGGGAATCTAAATCCAATACCTTAACAAGCTTGAAGCTTTCAAAGATGAAGGAAATGTCACGTGGCCATAACAAGTTATCTGGATCTGTCACTTTGAACTGTAAGGAGCGGACGTTCGAGCGACATGGCCGCCATAAATCAATCTCATCCTGGTAAGAATGAATGAACAACCTGTAGTCCTCAGGCTTTTCAGGAAGAATATCCTCCTGTCTGAATCAGATACAAAGGAACAAAACAAAAAAACACGTGTCAATGAGAGTTGGTATAAGCATAATAAGATGAAATCAGTATAATTCTATGTACCTATTTATTTGGTTGAGGAAATTTTCTTGTTTGCCCTTTTCCAAGCAGAAATTGTGCAAGAGATCATGAATGCGGCACTTTTTCACCTTGTCATTGGGTCTCTTCTCCATGGCAATTACTAGATTTCTACCAAGTAGATCTTCAAAAAAATATTGTGCGGCATCTTCTGTTCTTTTTCCCTTGTTTGCTTGTACAAACCCTTCAGCTTGCCACAGCCGAGTCAACTTGGAGACATGAATATCCTTGCCCTTCAAAAATCCTCCAAAATAGAGAAAACAGGGCTTTAGGTGTTGTGGTAAATTCTTATAACTGAATCCAATTAAAGACATGCTCTCTTCCGAGCTGCCGCTGTCATGCGAACCTAGAGTTTCCTCTACTTCTTTCCACAAATCTTGTTTGTTCTCTTTATCTTTCAGAACACCAGCAACTATCACAATGAAGAGAGGCAACCCTCCACAACATTTTGCTATTCGAGATCCCACATCTACAAGTTCAGGTGGACAGCTCTCCCCTTGAAACACCTCTTCCTGTAATAATGTCCAACTCTCATCATCTCTGAATAAACGAAGATGATGGGGATTGCTTTGACATTTAGCATAAATGGCAATGTCAGTCAGCCGGGTCGTTAGAATAATTCTACTCCCACTATGAGCATCTCTAAAGCACATGTATAAATCATCCCAAGCTGTTTTATCCCACACATCGTCAATGAGAATTAAGAATCTCTTGGTTAACAAAACTTGACGCAGCTCGTTAGCTAATTCACTGTCTTCTTTTTCAGTGCGATCAGCAGGCTGAAGAACATCATTCAAGATGGTAAGCAGCAATTCCTTCCATGAATATACTTGAGTCACACGACACTTAGCGTGAACATCAAAGTGAGAGGTAACTATGAGATCATGGTAAATCTTCTCGGCAAGTGTGGTCTTCCCAATTCCAGCCATACCAACTATGGAGATAATATCTAGCTGAGAAGATCCTCCAAGTAGCTGCTTCTTTATTTTGCCCATTGCCTCCTGAAAACCTTCCATTTCTTCATTTGTTCTTGGGGTATTAGCCGATAAAGATGGTGCAAGATTTATGGGGCTCTTTGCAACTTTGTGCATTGTCACATCTATCTTCTTTCTTCCACAAGTCTCACTAACAACTTGATATTCAAGCTTAATATTCCTGGCAACTTCAGAAATCCAAAGAACTTTGTACCAGAGTGGATAAGAACCGGCCAAGCACGAGTCAATGACATACTCTGCCATGTATACCATTTCAGTAACACTTGTTATAACACCATAAAATTCATAACGCTCATCTAAGCTTTCTACAAGATTGTCAGTCAGTGATCTTAGACACAATAAACCCTCCTTGACTGATTCAATCTGATGCTTTAAGTCGATAACTGAATGAAGCTTAGAACGTAGCAGCTCCTCCAATTTTCCCACGAAACAATTGAGAAATCCTAACCCATTTGTCTTTGGGAAGCTATAACCTAACAAATATGGAACTCTTAGACAAATCATTTTGACCTCTGCCTCAATATACTTGAGCAATTGCTTTACATCAGAGAGATATAACATGTAATACCAAGCGGGTTTATAACCCTTGACTTGGAAAAGACATACATACTTTATATCTTGAACACGTTTCGTGAGGTTTTTGAGTTCTTGATGCATATTGCGGGACTGTACAATATCTGCAAGAAAAGAGCCCAAGTACTCTGATTTGTCTTTGACTACTAGGATCTGGTTCTTGAGAAAAGAGATTGAACAAGCATCATAGTTGAGAAACATGTCCTGGTGATTTAATAAGAAATTAATAAGGCCTTCTCCATCTATCATGTTGCAAGGTGATGTATCCAGAAGATGAAAGCATATTTTTCTGAATTCTACCTTGACAGACTCAATCTCTTGTAGCGAATCAGATAATGAAAAGCTCATTTTCTGAGTGCTGCTCCCATCCTTGAAACTTTCATAACAAGAACCAATGATTTGTCCTAACTTGTCGGCGGTCCCTTCAGCATGCATTAAGAGATCATGCAATTCATTAAGCTCTGTGTGTTGCACGAGAACATCCATGAGAAAAGCTCTGAGGAAAATAAGCTCTTCATGAGCACTTTCAATCAGATCAAGAATTTCAGCTTTCAAAGCGGCTTTGTGCTTTAGTAAATCCATCAAGCATTCCTCAAACTTGATAAGCTTTAAAGTTAGCGTCAAAAACTGAAGAACAAGATTGACCTTCCTACTTTTGTTTTTGTCCACAGCATCCTCATAAATTAAATAGATAGCAGATTCAGCGTCAATTGCAATAGTTCCAAATCCTGTCAAGAAATCATTCTGCTTCATCCATCCAATGCTCTGAATTGGCGGGTCAACAAGATACATTACCAGGAGCAACAACCCATAGTAATATTTTTTTATCTCATTGGCAACAGTAAATGTCAAATAAGTTTCATCCTTCAGCAGCAGAGTATCAAGAATATATTCATGAAACCCTATCAAAATCTCATCCATCTTGGGGCTCTGAGAGGATGGTGCCTTTGAGGATTTTAGCATGCTGAAATAAGTATCAATGACCTTAAAGTTAAGAGGAAGAAATTTCAGCAGATTTATTGTAGGATGGTTCAGTGTCGACGATGCAGAAATGTTGGGACACATCTGTCTACTCGCTTCCCTAATAAACTTGAACTTAAGAAGCAATTCAAAATGCAGGCGATTAATTTCCCAGGCCAAGTTTTCTTGCACCGAGCAATGAGAAAGAGAATCAATGACTGACCATGCTCGGTCAGTCACGGACTGAATGAGGGTCAAAAAATCAGTTATCTCAGGTTGCTCTTTGCACTGGTCCAATAAAACCATGAGAAAAGTTCCCAAGAGCGCCAGCTCTTCTTGAACATAGTCAATCAAATTTCCCAGAGGAGATATTATGGCAGCTTCACTGTTTAATAGCTTAATCAGATGGACATCTACTGTGACATGGTTAACCTTCAGTTGCAAAAGAAAAAGCACATGGTCTATTTCAGTAGTCTTCAGGTCCATATCCTCAGTATAGCAGGAGTAGATCACAATTGCTGCCTCAATGGCCAGAGCTTCGATATGTGGTTGAAGAGAATTGAATTCCTCGAGTGGAATGCGTTCTGATACAATGTCGCGGAGAAATCCATAAAGGTAAGAAAGTCCTTGTTGGAGCCATGGAATTCGATCATCAAAGGTAACTTTTAAGCTGGCATCACGGCTTAGCAGCTCTTCCAGATCCTCTTCGAGACCATAAACAAAATCAGATATAAAATTGACACTCATTGTAGTCTCGGATTGTGATGACTTTGACCCTATCAAGAGGCTCAGATAAATCTGCCTCAGTTCAGGCCTAAAAGGACTTATCCTTTCCAGCAATTTAGAGAACTCACAATCTAACACACGTGCCTGCAGGTCGTCATCCTCCTCCATATTGTAGGCTGCCACAAAGTAACATAGGTGTAGTGCACTATAAGCTACATCCTCAGCATGGGTGAAGAGATCCTGCATCCTCTCATGCCCAATGCACCGCTTTGCAGTTAACGTGACAAAAGCTTTTAGATAGTTCAGCTTCATTTTAAACACAAATGTGGAAGGAGCATTATGATCCCTTAAAAGTAGGCACAGTATAATATTAAAAGAATCAAGCAAAGCTACGACAGACCCCACCATTTCGATCATGATTAGGCTAGATGATCTTGATGGCTTTGAAGCTTTAATTCGTTCAGCAATATTCTCCAGTTGAATCATCTTCAGCAACTTTGAAATCATTCCAATGATGTCACTTGTCTCGCCAGCTTGATCATTCATGCGAGAACATATTGTATCAATTTCATGAAGAGCCTCCATAAATAGGGCCCTAAGTTGTACAGATATCCCATTTTCAGGGTGAGCCATCTCCACAGCTACGAGAGAGTGAAATACATGTACTAGCTGATCAACAACATTTTTCAATTGATTATCCGTCAAACTATCTAAATGCTTGTGCTTCACAAGGTCTAAGGCAACTAGCACACAGAAACACTCCTCAGCCATCTATTTTCCACCTTTTCAGTTTTCTCTAACTGTTGACTCCTGATAAAATCCAAGTAATAAAATCAATATCTTCAGATAGCTTGACAAAAACATATTCATGCATATTAAAAAGTGTCCATGATTTATGATTACTAGGCTTTACTTATATTAATTAAAATGACCCTCCCCACCCCCAACAAAAACCTCCTCTCTCCGAAGAATGCATGCAAAGGCAAATGATCTTAATGTAGACATACATATATTTAATTATGTGTGTGATATTTTAACTTTTATTCTTCTAAGGCTGCTACATAAGGCCCAGTATTGTCCAACTCTTTCGGATCCCGCATAGCAGAAGATTAGTGCATTAGATTGACCTTTTATTCTTCTTCTAAAACCCCTCCTTTTAGTTCCAGTATCAGGACTCAAAATCATGCACGTGCGTCATATCTTTCACCCAAAAAAAAAAAAAATTGCATCCGGTACCAATTGTCTGATTAATCCAGATTCGCCATGTAAGGCTCATTACATAAAGAAGCACTTACTCCCTATTAGGAATTTTCCATTTCGAAGACTCGAACCCATGACATCTAGCTAAGGATTAAGGGATCCGTCCGTCTCAACACATCTCTTAGTGTTTCTCTTTTGGTCCTTCATTAATGCACTTCTACTCACTAGTTTGATAGTATTTGTTAAATAGTTCTAACTGATTAATAACATGAATTTCTTTTTAAAATAACTCAGTAACTCACTAGTTTGATCAGCTACCAACCTCACTGAGATTTTCCTCGAGCTAACAGAAAATAATTTAAAAGTAAGATTTAGAGTAAAGAAGAAAGATCAATTGACTTCTATCATTACTCAAGCTGTTGATTCAAACACCCATTTCAGTTTCAAGCTTTGGACCAAAAAAAAAGAAATGAAAAAAAAATAAAATAGTAAACAAAAGAATTAAAGAAAGACAGTAAGTAAAACTTACTTTCGTACTGGTGGATATTTAACTTCAAAACCCCAACAGAAAACACCTTTTGTAAAGTGATTGAATTACTCAAACGTACAAGAAACAAAAACCAGCTAACTTCCTGCAACTAAAAAGCAAAAATAATTTATTTCAATTTGCTGTTTTCTTTCTTTGTTTTTTTGGTGTCCCCTCCTATTTTTCACAGATTAACTAAAATAAAAAGAGAAAAAGTTCACCTCTTAGCAGAGCTCATCCACTGGTTAATTTGAAGAAAGAAAGTTGATCTGTTTGGCTTCTGCCTAGTTTCTAAGTGCATTCCTTTCAATGTGAAAGATAATAAAGTGATGTAGTAATAAACAATGGTTAAATGGTACACTGATGAATTGAGTAGTATTATCCTACTAACTCTAATAATGGTCTTTTGTTCATTTTTAATTGCACAAATTTGCACTTCTTTTCATGTAAAAGACAAAAGTAGGCACTAGTAGGTAGTATAAACAATGATTATAGGGCGGCAAAATAGGAAAAAACTGTTAGAAAATAATAAACAAAATTGGCTTTGAGACGTAAAAATTGACTGTTCTTAAAGAGTTATCGCATGTATACTAATTTAGGAAAAATACAAAACGATTCTCTTCAGGATACAACAAAGCCTGCAATAACACTTGTGATTTTCTATTTTCACTTCGTTGGAATTCTTGTGTATTTATAGGCAACCAACAGACCCTTTCAGAAAAGATGTCTTGTTTCACAAACAGACACGACTATTTATTCGAACTTTGAATTTAAAATTCAAATAAATTTGATTTTTCTGTTAAAAATAATTAACTTTAGGATCTCGTGTCTGTTGAGTCAATCTCGTGCCTGTTGAGTCAGTCTCGTGTCTATTGAGTCAATCTCGTGCCTGTTGAGTGCTATTTCATAATGATCAGTTCCGAGGCTAACAGGCACAGTACGAGTAAGGTCGGTCTCGAAGGTGTTTCACATAACAGGCACGGAACTTCTTTCTTCCGATGTGGGAAGAATCTCACTTCCAACTTGCCAATAACAAACTATCTTACAATCCCCCACTAGTTTGTTATTTCGCTTCATAACACTTGTGAATAATTGAAAGTATCTTTTACAGATTTGAACTTTCCTTTAGTGTAAGTATATTAAAGTTTTGACGAAGTTAATGGTATCTTAAGATTTGAACCACAAATCCTTGTGCCAAAACCGAAAATACCACACACACAGCGTTATCTAGTAGCTTAGAAAATCCAGTATTCGCTTTAGCACGTTTACGGCCATGTGCTCATCCTGAATTCATAAATATTTACAAGATCAACCATTTAAATCTTGCTAGAAGCGGCACCACTTCAATATTCATATAGGTGGAATTAGTTACTATGTCCCTGTTACTCCAGACATTAATAATTCCATTATGATTAATCAACCTCTTCATTTAACAGTATGCACTTTGGAGTTTGTCTTTATGCCCCTGTTATAACAAGCATTTAACAACTCATTAACTCCTCACATAACAGTAAGTAGTACAATAGAATTAGAGCTCCTAAAGAGGAGATCAGTGCTTAAACAATACAAGTAACTTATTATTACACATTGAACTTATATTGTTAGAGTGTATACTAACTCAAAGTGGGGTTCCTATTTCTTGTATTTAATTTAAGGGTCTCAGCCCCATCTCTCCACAAGTTTGTTGTACTACATCTCTACCTAATGGCTTCGTAAGTGGATCAGCCAAATTCTTATTTGATCTCACATATATTATAGCTATAGCTCCATTTGTAATTAATTCTCTTATATAAGCATGTCTCAAGCTTATATGTCTCGATTTCCCATTATATATTTTATTGTGAGCAACACACATTGTAGTCTCACTATCACAGAATATGGAAATGGCTGGCATAGGTTGTGGCCACAACTTTATATCAAGTAACATATTCCTCAGCCATTCTGCTTCTTTTCCAGCAGCTGCTAATGCAATAAATTCAGATTCCATAGTAGAATGGGAAATACATGTTTGTTTCTTGGATGCCCAACTAATGGCTCCACCGCCTAGAGTAAATATCCATCCTGATGTGGATTTATTATCATTAACACTTGTAATCCAACTTGCATCAGAATATCCCTCTAATACATTAGGAAAACCATTATAGCAAATGCCTAAGTGCTTTGTATATTTTAAATATCCAAGTACTCTACTTATTGCTTTCCAATGATCATTACCTGGATTACTGGTAAACCTTGAAAGTTTACAAACAGCAAATGCAATGTCGGGTCTAGTGCAATGCATTGCATACATCATACTACCTATCGCACTTGCATACTCCAACTGTGCTACTGCTCTTCCAGTATTTGCAGTTAGCTTAACACTAGAATCATAAGGAGTATTATACCCCTTTATTCCTAAATGACTGAATTTAGTAAGGATTTTATCTATATAATGTGCTTGTGACAAAGTCACTTGCTTGTTATCTCTTTTGACCTTGATTCCCAAAATAGTATCAACTTCATTTAAATCATTCATTTTAAAAAATGAGGTTAGATACTTCTTGGTCTCGGTAATTCCTTGTAGATTTGTACCAAAAATCAGCATGTCATCGACATATAAACAAATTATTACTCCATATTTTTTTGTAAATTTAGAGTAAATGCACTTGTCTGCATTATTATGTACGAATCCGGTTGATAGTATTACACTATCAAATCTTTCATGCCACTGTTTAGGCGCTTGTTTAAGACCATAAAGAGACTTTATCAATTTACAAACTTTCTTCTCGTTTCCCGGAAGAACAAAACCTTCAGGTTGTTGCATATATATTTCTTCACTAAGGTTCCCATTTAAAAAGGCTGTTTTAACATCCATTTGATGTACGTAAAGATCATAGATAGAGGCCAAGGATAAAAGGACTCTAATGGATGTTATTCTTGCAACAGGAGCATATGTATCAAAATAGTCTATGCCTTCCTTTTGAGTGAAACCTTTTGCAACTAATCTTGCTTTGAAGGTTTGGACAGAACCATCTGTATTGTACTTTCTCCTAAAGACCCACTTACAACCTATAGGTTTTGATCCAAGAGGAAGATCAACCAAAACCCAAGTGTTGTTGGATATAATTGAGTCCATTTCATCATTAATGGCCTCTTTCCAAAAAGCAGCGTCTCTAGAAGACATTGCTTCTTGAAACGTCTTTGGGTCTTCTTCAACATTTAATACAATTGGAATTTGATTACAAACGTTTGTCCTATCTCCTTCAACAAGAAATACTATAGATTGTGAAGAAATAAAATCAGAACCAAGATGTTTTTCTTTTCTTATTCTTTGGCTTTTCCTTGGTTCTATCTGCATATCATCACTTCTTTCCTTAGTTTTAATAATTTCAGAAAGCGACAATTTATTAGCATCAATACGTTTTCCATTTATTTCAGTCATTTCATCAACATTGTCATTTATAAATCTATTTTCAATAAATTCAACATGTATAGATTCTATAATGACATTAGATTCTAGATCTAGCAGTCTATAAGCTTTGGAGTGTTGTGCATATCCTACAAAAACACTTTTAATTCCTCTAGGACCCAATTTTGTTCTTTGATGGTCAGGTACTCTATAATAGGATATACACCCCCACACTTTAAAATAATTTAAATTTGGTTTTCTACCATTCCAAAGCTCATAAGGCGAAATATGCATACTTTTTGAAGGCACTCTATTTAAAATATAACATGCAGTTAGTAGTGCTTCACCCCATAAATTATGTGGCAAATGTGCATTAAGTAACATAGCATTAACCATATCCACCAAAGTTCTATTTTTTCTTTCCGCTAACCCATTTTGTTGAGGAGTATAAGGGGCACTCATTTGATGTATTAGGCCATGCTCTTCACAGAACTTATTAAATTCGTTAGGAAAATATTCTCCGCCTCTATCACTTCGAATAATTTTAATTTTCCTACTCCTTTGATTTTCCACAACAGACTTGTATTCTTTAAACTTTTGAAAAGCTTCGTCCTTAGTTCTAAATAGTTAAATATATGTAAATCTAGAGAAGTCGTCTATAAAAGTAATAAAATATCTTTTGCCTCCTCTAGTTGATTCTCCATTTAATTCACACAAGTCTGAATGTATTAAATCTAATAGTTCTGTGGATCTTTCAACTTTACGAAATGGTTTCTTAGTCATCTTTGCTTGTATGCAAATTTCACATTTTATATGTTGAGTTTTACATGAGATATAACCATTTTGGACATATAATTCAAGGAGCCAAAATTTAAACGTCCTAGTCTAGCATGCCATAAACAAGAATCAGACTCAACGATGTAAGCAGAAACATAATTTATTTCATTAATACTCAATTTGAACATGCCGTTACAGTTATAGCCTTTTCCAACAAAAACACCATTCTTAGACACTATTACATGATCAGACTCAATAACTATCTTGAAGCCTTTCTTTGACAGCAAAGCAGCGGACATTAAGTTTTTCTTCATATCAGGAACATGATACACATTCAGTAACGTCAACTTCTGGCCAGATGTGAAGTTAATCTCAATACTTCCTTTTCCAGCAACATCTGCCGCAACATGGTTTCCCATCAAGACTTGTTCAGAATCCTGCACTTCTGCATATGTCTTGAACATCTTCTTGTCATAACAGACATGAATAGTAGCACCCGAATCTAGCCACCAGTCTTGAGTATTTGTAGCAGCGGTAGCCACATTCAACTCTGTGACCATACCAATTTGCATTGCGGAAACCATGGCAACCAGTCCTTGGGCAGAATTTTCCACTACGTTTGCCTTTTCAGAATTTCCAGATTTTTTAATCTTTCCAGACTTTTCGGTATTGCCTGCATTGAAATTTATTCCTGCCTTTCTATATCTGCAGTCCCGAATCATATGGCCTTTCTTTCCACAATGATGACAACTAAAGTTCTTTCTCTTTTTAAAAGAAGACTTTTTGGAAACTTTCAGATGTTTGTTCCCACTTCCTGAATCATTCTGACTGACAAAATTGACTGCGGAACTCGAAGGCTGACTAATAGCATCACGAGCACGAGTCTCACTTTCAATTTGAATGTGAGTACGAAATTGTTCCACAGTCATTTTATCCATAGAATGTAGGATTTTCTTTCTATAGTCATTCCAAGAGGAAGGCAATTTCGAAAGAATAGCACCTATTTGAAGTGCATCAAGAATTTTAACTTCAAGATCACTTAGTTTGATACTAAGATTTGCAGTTCATGAATCTGATCCATTATAGGCCTAGTATCAAATATTTTAAATTCAAAGTACTGTAGAGCCAGGAATTTGTCAATACCTCATTTTTCATTTTGGTATGCAGTTTATAGA